ATACCATTGCTCTTCAGTACTTTGGAGAGGTCCCTAACAGCAGACTTTCCCATGGCATATACTTTTAATTTCCTGGCTACTGGTGCCAAGAGTGTTGACTGTGGAGCCAAATATGGGAGACATTATTTCTATGTCAATGATGAGGAAACTAATGAGATATTTTATGTGTTCAAGATCTCATGGCTAATGACAGAAGCAAGTAGCAAAATTAAAATGATACTCTTAAATTAATAATAGATTCAAAGTCATTGTCAGAGTCAGAACCCCCTCAGAGTTGACCTTTCAGCAGGTTTTCAGAGGCTGGAAAAAGGCACAGGAAGAAGTTGCTCACCTTTCTCCAGTGGAGCAGCTAGTGGATTCAAAGCATTTGCCTTTCGTTTGGCAGCACTTCTTAACTGTGTGTACAAAACAATGTGATTCAAGTATGAATATAATGATAACTCTGAGGAGATCACACTTAAAGGTTCAAAGGCAAATTAGCATATTTCAGTCTTATAGAAATGTAAACCAGACTTACAAGTACTGTTTGATATTAAACTGACTACAGGAATATTTTTATAAAAAAGTAATAAATTTCTGATTAAATGATGCATATATATTTTAGATAGTCATTCTGGTGTCACCTCCTCTGATGGAATCCCCTTGTGAGATCTGCACCCTTCTCCTGCTGTCACCCGTCTGGGGACATCACTGCTTGGGGTAGAGATACTGTAAGATGTGGAGGCAACCCTGTACTTCTTTGCTCCTGATAGAGTGCAAAGTGTCCCCACTCATTAATTTTAACAACATTCTCTTTAAGATTAAAAAGTCTTTTGCTTTCAAAAATGTGTATTTTGTCTTAATGTCCTGAAGAAAAGATTCTACAACCAAGCATGTTTGAAAATTGCTTTTATTTGCAATTCACCCTCTTCTTGTTGATTTTCGTGCTTTTTTTTAAACAAAAATGAGTATTTTCCTCTTCTTAAAGTTGCTCTTTCTCACTCGCTCTCCATCCACTTCTTTCTGCTTCCTCCTAAACGCTGCAGTTCGTAGGCTGAGATGTTCCAAGGACCATTTTCTCCAGGACTGGAAAGGACTTTGGCTCTCACAAGGTTTTTTTCTTTTTAAAATTGATTTTAATGAAAGTTTACAGAGACTTTGTATTTCCATTCATTCATTGTTGCACTTTTCTCCCTGCCCACCCCTCCCCCATTTGCTTTTCTTTCTGAAAAGAAAAAATTATTTCCTTGTTATTCAATCCCTCCCTCGAAGTCCACTCCACTATGCTACCTTTGTTCTGAACTCCTGTCGCTTCTCTATATCGTCCCAATTTTAGTATATGTGATGCCGAAGAGAGCACTCTCACAAGGGTTTTCAATGTCTGAGAATTACAGGAAGGACCCGAACCGCCTGGCAGGACTTGAAACAGAAAAACCAAGCCAATCGCCTTGCTTCTAGCTTCAACGCCTTTTCATGAAGACAGGTTCCCATTAAATTACACAGGATACAAAGTAAGTTTGATGGGGAACAAATACATTTTACAGCATCTTTTATGGGAGTAATAACTCATGAACTCTAAAGGAATTTCACGTTCCATAAAGTGTTATTTGTTTGGGGAGTTTCGCATCCTCATAAATGGTAAGAGTAGGAACACCTGAGTATGCAATATAAAGCAGTTCGGTGATGTAGGCTCCTTTGTTAGACAAATAAGTATCTGAAAGAAAAGAAAGGGGGGGGGAGGCCACTGCTTGGAGTAAATGAGAAAGCCCCCACTTCTGATTACCATCCTTCGCTGTAGTGTATAAAGCGAGGTACGGCGGGATACTTCTAACAGCATCAGAGCAGTTTCTCACGCAGTATCCTCACCAGACGAGCTGTGAAAACCCTAATTATCAAGCCCCACCCCAAGGGTTTCGGATTCAGTGGCTGGGTGAGGCCTGAGAATTTGCATTTGTAACCAGCGTTCCCCGGGACCAGGATATTGCTGCGGGTTCAGAGTTGAGATCCTGTGGCCTGTTCTCCAGAACGCTTCCTGGCTTTACCTGTTTTTAAACCACGGCCTCAGGGTTTTCTCTCCTTACCCGAGAAACCCTATCTGTTTGAAGACAATCGATATTTAGGGAAGATGAGCTGCTTGGGGTTGGCCCCAGAACATTCCTTCCAGGGCCAGTCACTGATTTAAGAAGAAAGAAGAGGGCAGATTAGCACCAGCCCGCAGCTCCAGAGCCTTCAGGCTGCACGTGATCGGGCGCTAGTGTGACCTCCTCCCAGCCCCCAGGTCCCGCCGCGGGAGCGCAGCCGCAGGACAGGCGCCGGCGGGCCCCGCGATGGCGCTGCCGGGCGCGCTCTTCTCCTGCCTTCTGGGGGTCGTGTTCGGTCCCCCGGGCTTGGCGCTGCCCCTGGCGCCCGCCGGCTCCCGGACCCCTTCTCCTGCCGTGGGTGAGTCTGCGGTCCTCCCCGCCCGCAGCAGCCGGAAGCGCTGGCGCTAAGTTAGCATAGTGCAGAGGAGAGGGGGGCGCCCCCGCGGCCGGGAACCCGCGCGCACGCGCCGACAGCACCGGGCGAGCACCGCGCGCGCGGAGGGGGAGGACGGGGCGGCCGGGGACGCGCAGCACTGGAGGGGCTGCTGGAGGGGCATCGGGTGGGGGAGGGCGGGTAGCCCAATTCCGCCTCCGGTTCTCTTGTTTACGCCTTAGTCTGGCAGGGTGTTGTTTTTTGGGAATGCAAAGAGCTGTTGCTTTTCTTACAGCCTACCCTGCGCGGAGGAGAACTGCAGAGTTTTCCTTTCATCTAAGTTTCAGTCCGACTGGGTGCTGCACACAGGTTAGCAGCCTTACTCCCCAGACAAGGGCAGGCACACAGAGTTAATAAACTGCTAACAAGTCTGGTCCTAAATTTACCACCTTCCAGTGACCTTCATTTTGGTGGCTTAAGCAGTGGCTTTGAATATGTCATGGAGATTGTGAGGATGGCACAGGATAGGACAAGATTCAGATCTGTTGTTCATAGGTCGGTATCAGTCATACTTGAATCGATGACACCCAACACAACAGCATTTGTCTATACCTGAGTGCCTAGTAGGCTCCATGCGGCCAACATTTTATTTGGAATGGGCTAAGTAAAAGTTTTGAATAGAGCAGTGGATCGCAAGTAAGTTTCTGGACAAGCAGCAGTTAAAACTCAGCCTGGGAAATTTGGTTAGTAAAACAAATTCACAGGGCCACCATGTAAGACAGTGTCTGGTACAGTGTTGTTGTTAGGTGCCTTCAAGTCAGCTGTGACTGTAGCGACTCTTAGACAATAGATCTGGATTTTGGCCTTTCCTGCACCATCCTCAAGGGCTCTGATAGGCCTGAGCCCATTGTTACAGCACTGTCAGTCATCTTGTGGAAGGTCTTCCTTTTTTTCTCTGACCTCTTTCCTAGAATTTCTTTTTCTAGGAAATGATTGGGACTTCCTAATAATATGCCCAGAGTATGTGGAATAAAGTTTCACCATCTTTATCACTAAAATTACATCCTGTAACCAGGCTACATCCTGGTTGCACTTCCAACACAGATTTATTTGTTCTATTGGCAGTCCATTTCTCTTCTCCAATACCACAACTCAAAGGCATCGATTATTCTCTCATCCTTATTCGTTGTCCAACTTTAAGATGCGTAGGAGTAGTTGAAAAGATCTTGGTTTGGATACAGTAATAGTACTCAGTTTGTACCTTAGATCATTGGCAGCATTCTCTCCAAAACTTGTTTAAAAAGCAGACAAAATCCTACTGCCCTCAAGTTTGTTCCACCTCATACCAACGCCATAAGAAACCTTATTGGCATAGTACAGTAAGTGTTGTGCTGGTTGCCGCAAATGACAGCAAATGTGTTTCTAAGCACAGTCGTCAATTTTAAAAGTGTGAGGCAACATGTTAAGGGAACGATCTGCTTGCTGGAATTCACTAAGGGATCTGTGGGAAAAAGATTGCAGTATTCTTCCATAAAGATACTAATGGAGAACCCACTCTGGCAGCTACTTCCCTCCTTTGGGTTTTTGTTTTGTTTTGTTTTTTCTTGAGTAGAACTGCCCTATAGGGCACTCTTTCCCACAAGAAGTGTTTAGTGGGTTAGAACTGCCAATCTTTTGGTTAGCAGCATGCAACCTAATACAGCAGATTTTTAGTCCCACTCAAAACTTAACTGAATAATTTACTAGTAGGGCCCAGCAATCTATTTAACAGACTCTTCAGTTGGTTCTGATATATGCTAATATTTGAGAATGCCAAGTCTAGAATAAAAATGTTCCAGTAAGGAGCTCTTACAGTGCAGTGGTTAACTATACTAGTCAAAAGGCTGGTGGTTTGAATCCATCAGCTGTTCACAGGGGGAATAGATGAGGAAGTCTGTTTATGTAAAGATTGTTGTTGTTATATACCTTTGAGTAAAAACCAACCCTCTGGCGGTTAGCTGATCTTCCAGGGCGTGTTCGGAGGCTGTAAATTGCATAGAAGAGATTGCCCATCTTTTGGTTGGTGGATTTGAATTGCATACCTATGGATTGGTAGTACAGTGTCTTACAGTGCTTCCTAAGTTACAACATTAGGAACCCCAAGTATTTCTGTTCTGTGTTCTGTTATTGTTATGGGTTTTGGAGATTAATAGCTGAACCTACAGTGAGTTTTCAGAGGCTGCAAATCATATAGGAGGAGATTGCTCACCTTTCTGTCCTCTAGTAGTTGTTGTATACATTGAGTTGGAACAGACCCTACCGTGTGTTTTCAGAGGCCATTCATCTCACAGGGTAGTAAATTGCCCATCCTTCTCCCATAGAGCAGCTGTTTTCTCCAGCTGTGTGCCTTTAGGGTTGCAACACAGCTTCTTGCCACTAGGCCACCAGAGCACCCTGTCTTATAGTTGTTGTTGTTAGGTGCCATCGAGTCGTAGACGACTCATAGCGACCCTATGAACGAACGGTCCGAGCACTGTTCGTACATAGAGTTTCCGGAGGCAAGCCATTTCCGAAGTGGATGCCGCTCCTGCTTGATTTAGTCGGGAAGCTCCAGCCAACACTGTCCACCATGGGTACTGTTACCACGTTTGGCACATCACTGTCACAGTGTTCAGCATCACAGCAACCACAAGTTACTTCTGTACAGCAACACACAGACCACTGCTATACCACCTAGAAGAATGTTTGACTGTCTTATAGTAGAGTCATCATAAACCAGGATTAACAGCAGTGAGTTTATTTAGAATATTTACCTTTTAACAGTGCATATTTTGATTTTATAGGCAGCAAGATTTAGCTAATCTCGGGTGTCATTTATGTCTGATGTGTTGTGGTATTGTTTTTCTTTGTTGTTGTTGATTGCCTTCAAGTGACTCATAGAGACCCTATGAACAAAAGACTTAATGCCTTTTTATCCAAGTTCATAGAGTTTTCAGAGGCTTGTTGTTTAGGAAGTGGATACCACTCCTGCTTCCAAACTTGAATTAATCTGGGAGCTCCACCAAACACAAACCATGTTGGGTAGCCATTATGGTGTTTGACACAACTACGGCACAGTTGTTGTATTATAGCATTTGAGACTCCAGTGGTACAAGGTTCAGTGTTACAGCCAACCCAGATTACCTCAGCACAGCAAATTGACAAAAGTGCTGTTGTTGATTTAGAAGGGTATTCCTCTAAAATATGGTAGATAACAAGGGATTAAAATATAATCCCTAGGAAGAAAAAAGAAAAAAAAATATAACCCCTAGTGCCCAACTTTCAAATATAAGGGCCTTCTAGGAGGTCTTGTTGACTCTAAACAAGAGGCTTAAATAAAAAACAACCAAACATTCCACACCTGACCCTCAACCAAAACAAGAGAGCCAACCTTATAGAGTCCAGCTAGCCTAGCTAACCTTATCTTACAGAGTCCAGCCAGCACTGACCTTATCTTATAGAGTCCAGCCAGCTGGCTTCACCCAGTCTCCAAAATGGAGACAAGGGCTTCGCCTTAAATGCAAGTGCCCCCCAGGAGGGCTTGGGGGCTCTATACAAGAGGCTTAAACAAAAAACCAGCTGAAGAATCCATATAGATCTTCAACCAGAACATTACTGTTATATTTTAACTGTCAAATCACAAAGAATCCTTAAGTTAAAAAGGGCTTTTTAGGGCAAAGCCTCAAAAAGTTCAGAAGGAAATGAGCTATAAACCTTAAGCAATGTTTTAATTAGCTAGACAACTCTCAGCTTGACTAAAATTTTGGTACCTGAAACTTAAGGTTTAGAAGTCATTTCCTTCTTAGACCGATGATCAAAGAAATAGCTCTTTCATATTAAAACATAATGACAGCACAATGAAACTATCAGAAAACAATTAAAAAAAATTTGAGGGGGAGGTATGGGTCCAGTCTAGTGGGAATTGCTGGCTGAACTTGAGTCTCTGTCCATTTTTCTGTTAGCTGGAGTCATATCAGCCTTTTTGTCTATCTAACAGGGTTGCTGTACAGAGGTAATTCATGGTAGCTGTGAAGCTGAACCCTGTAACACTGACGTGTCAAATGTGATAATGGTTAGCCATGGTGGACAGTGTTTGGTGGAGCTCCCCGATTAAAACAAGCTTGGAAGCAGGAGTGGCATCCACTTCCGAAACAGCTTGCCTCTGGAAACCCGATGAACCTGGAGAAACGATAAAAGTTATATAAGTTTTCAGGTCTGTCTTTCATAGGGTCGCTATAAGTCATCTTCAACTCAATGGCACTTAAAAACAACAACAAACAATAAATAAGAAATTAACAACTTCACTTTCATAAGAGAAAACTCCAACTTTATCTTACTGTCACAGTGAGGCAAATGTGGAGGGTTCGCTTATCAAGATACCGCAGGAGAGTTCCTAAACAGTAAACAGCCACCACTTTTCAGGTTTTCTGGATGCAGAGTTCCCAAAAAAACAAGGCTGGTTTCTCCTGGTGTAAAATGACATACCGAATCTGTAACATTGTGCTTGTTTCCCTAGAAACAATCTAGTGGGCAGCTCTGCCGCAGGAGGCATCAGGGGTCATGCTTGGTTGAGACAGGGAGACTTCTCTTGTTCAAACGTGAGACCAAAGCACACAAACCATTCGAACAAACTCTGACATGTATGTGTATAAACAGTGTTGTTTCTTTCAGCCCACAATCTGTCTGAAATCCTCCACTTGTCTCAAAGAATTGCGTATTTGAGATTCCCTTCCAATAGCCTTATTCTTAGTTTCAGTTATGTCACTTTTGCTAGAACTTCTCTTAAGACAGCTCCTTAACACCTTTCCAAGAGATACTTGCCAGATTATGATTGTAGAGAATTCGTTTTCTTGCATAAACAGCATTCTTTTCATATAAATCTGCATCCTTTCCCTTTGAAGATCAGCAATTGAAAGCAATAAAGACTTTTGAAGGCAGAGATACTGGTCAAGGGCAATGAATGAAAA